TTTTTTTTTTTTTTTTTTTTGAAAGTTTTGTTAATGATGCTTAACTAAGTTTTGTTTTTTGTTTTTGATGTATTTTTTTAGCGTTTTGATTTTTGCTTGTTTTCTATTGCCAACTTGAACAATTTTACATGGAAGTGGCGGGAGAACCTGAAGTTACATTTAGTTTTTTTCTCTCTTTTAAAGCTTACAGTTGGACCAGGCCTCACTGGGCAACAGTTTTGCTTCTTCCAGTCTACTGTTTTATATTTTTTGCAGGTTATTTTCGATGCGGCAGTGGCATGGAGGGAAGCTCAAGAAATTCTTTAAAGAGAACAAACCGTTAGTATGCTTTATTTGTGTTGTCTTTATTGGAGTTTTATGGGCTTTGGGATATCTTGATCACTTAGCCGAACGTCCTTTTGATGATTTCAAATGGCCTCCATACGTCGATGTTATGGAACAGGTGTGAAAGTTTCTTTTGATACAATAATCAGAGCTTTATTTTACAGATTTGCTTTGATTTATTGGTAAAGTTTAGTCAAATGTAATTTGTTTTCTTCTTTTTAGGTAAACTTAGAACTTTCAAAAAAGCCGTCGGCTGTCACCCCAGTAAACGACTGGAAGAAGTTGACACCTTACAAGGTCCCGAGCTGTAGTGTAGATGCTTCTGGCACGAATAACCTTATATTAATAATTGTGAAATCGGCTGTTTTTAACGTTCAAGTATAGTCCATAGTTCTTTATTTTTAAGTTTTGGGGTTTTGCTTTTTCAGTTCTAATCTGCTTGCTTTATGTTAATGCTGACGTTTAGCATCGTAGAGCTATACGAGACACTTGGGGTGCTGTAAAGAAATATTCTGGTTATGTTATCCAGACCATATTTTTGACGGGTCGTTTGAAGCCTGCTGATGAGAAACACTTTGGAAGTGTAATAGAGATGGAAAGCGAGAAATATGGAGACTTATTGATTGGAGATTTTATTGATTATTACCACAATAATACTTATAAGGTTTTTCCAGATTTCTTCTGTTTCTTTTTCTTTCTTATCGTAATTTATATTTCTGTATTTTTTAGTTTTTATACGCTATAAAGCATGCTATGAACTACTGTAATAGAACAGAAAGTGTACCATTCACTTTGCTACTTGATGATGACTATATTGTATCAATTCCAAATTTGATTAAAGAGGTGAGTCGCTGGCATCCATCTGATCGTTTGTACACAGGATGGCGATTTGATGTCACTCCGTTCCGTTCTCGAATTTTCAAACATAGGGTTAGTTTAATTTTATTACTTCACATTGTTTTTTTTTTTTAAGTTTATCACTACGACACAAAAGTGAGTTCTGAATTGGATTCACTCTGAACAAACTTGCATTTTTGCTTTAATTTTGTGATAAACACTTATAAGTCACTGATTTTTTGTTTTTTACTAATATATGAGTCTTAAAACACTTGGTAGGTTATGGTAAATGAATTTTCTTCGCTTTTTTGTTATTGCTTTTAACTTTCATTTTTTGATTTGCAGCGAGAGAAACTAGTTTCGAGACATCTTTTTTTTTTCTTCTTTTGACATCAACGGTTTTGCTGAATTTCGTTTTCGTAGGGGGTATTAAAAAATAGCGATACAATTCAGGTGGCATTTACTGTTTATTTTGCTGTACGTAGATTTCAAGATCTGTCGGACAGCTGAGGATGACGACTTTCTTGGTTTTTTGGCTTTTCGTTTTACTTCTGTGAGGGTATATTTGACTTATTTTCATCAGTAGCTATCAATATAGGGAGTGAAATTTGTTATAACCGGAAGCTGATTTTCAGGTATCACTTTCGATTTATCCTTATGATAAGTATCCCCCGTACATCACTGGTGGTTCAATTTTGCTAACTGCGCAGACGGTTACTGAGATGTATTTAGCAGCCCAGTACGTTCGTCTTTATAAACTAGACGACATTTATGCTTCGATTTTAGCTTATTTGTTACATATACCAGCTTTGCATAATGAAAATATGCATTTTTATTATTATTCTATAAATGGGATAAATTTCAAAGACATGATTTGTATTCATGGCTATTATGGCGACAATCTTCGAGAAACGTATAGGCGTTTAGAAAAGAGGGGTTTAATGGTATGAAGCAATAATGTTTTTTTTATTTTAGTTATTATGTGTAGTTGTTTATTATGTTATTACTCTGCAATTTTTTTAACATCATAATATTTTAAACTTTGCTTTGAAGAATATATAAGGTGCTTTTAAGAACTTTTGAATGCTTTTGAAGTTTTTTTTTCACTTATTTATAGTACACTTTATTTGAACGATTTTGGGGTTTACTGCTTACTTCTGCTGCTTACTGTCTTTCTGTAAATAAGAAACTGAAAATAGCTTTTGTGAAAAGCTTTAGTAGTCTAGACTTCAAGTCGATTTTGTCTAACTTTTCTAGCATTATAATTTTTCTATTTTGCATTAATATTTGCTGCTTTGTTGTGAATTGTTAAAAAGCAGTCTCCGGCCATGAACTTCGGTTTTTATAACTGTGTTGTTTTTGCAAATTATTTGTTAAAATTACTGCTTGTTACAGCCTCGGTAATCGTTGGACAATCAGTTGCTTAATTAGGATATAATATGGAATATAGTTTTTGCAGATATGTGATATTATTGACTGAATTTTCTGTGATTGGTATGTAGATTATAGTTGTGGGAGAAGAGAGCTTTTTTTTTCTTGAAAAACTGGAGGTTTTTGTCGTTTTGGCTTTCATTGTTTTCTTATGGGTTATAACTAAAACTTGATCACATGACCAAAGAATTTTAAAAAAGTAATTAGATAAAATAAATCTGTTGGCATTGATTATCTTGTTCTCTTTTCATTGCAATAGATGAAAAGTTACTCTCGCGCCAAATTTGTTCTCTCAAGTTTATCAGCTGTTATATGTTGGCAGGTATCACTGTTTGGCCAGTATTTTTTTACCAAAAGCCACAGGCTAGTGGAATTGAACACGAGCTACTGGTATAGTTATCAGTTCGATCTGATCAGCGGGACAAATATTGGTTGATAGATCAAGATGATTTTTATGATGTCTCTTTTGCTAAACTACAATGATATCAGTTACACAAGAGTCGATGGTTTGAAAGGGGTTGGATGGCGGAAACGAATTTGAATACTAGGGGTCGACGCGAGTAAAAAGGTAAATTTTTTCTGGAAAAGGCTTTTCTTTTGCATTTGTTATCTTCAGAAAATTGTTGTTCCAATAAACCATAGTTTATAGAAGCAAAAAAAATTATTTATTTAGCACAAATTTTTTTTTTGTTCTAATTTTATAGTTAGTAGAAAACAAATTTTTTTTTAAAATTGTTTTCTGATAAATATTGTTGGTGCCAAGAAAAACTAACAACAACAGAACGTTCGCGATAACGACAAATGGGTGTTGCCGCTGCAGCACTTCAAACGAATTTACAGTGATGGAACAGATGAAGATGACAGCGATGACACTGATGCTAGTTGCTGATAACCTAATAGATTTCTTTGGTCATTTTTTCTTTGGTTTTCTTTTTTTTTTTTTTTTGGTTTTTCATTTCTTTATGTTACTGTTGTTGTTTTGCTTTTCTTTTCTCTTTTCATTTTCTTTTCAAGTCAATTTTTTGGGCTTAGCTGACATAAATAATCTACTTTATTGTAGGCTGACAAACAGAATTGTTTTTACGTCACCTGCATCAACAGATAAATTAATATTTTTTTTTAATTTAATTATATTCTTATCAGGAACTCCGTCTTTATAGTTCAATAATACAAGGCACAACAAAATTGAAGCTGTCAAAGTTTATTACAAGAACAATAATGTTTTGTCTCCTGAATTACCGCCTTTTTTTGCTCATTAGAGCAACCTAAATTACCGACAGAGGGCAAATGAAGATATCAGAATTGACGAAAAAGTTGAGTTGTTTACCACTTTTCTATTGAACACATCGTCAACTGATGAAATGATGGCGAATTTCAAATGCTTGTAGGAACCTAAAGCAATCGGAACTATAGGATTTTGAAGACATTTTGGTGGGCAGTCTGTTTAAAAGCTGCAGGAATAGGAGATGTTTAAACGTCTCACCTTAAAACTGCTTAATCGGATCTTCGGTCTGTAGTAGAGTTACGTTCTCTAAAAAATTTTTGCAAAGATAACTGCTTTTACTGTTTTAATATACAGCCATTTATTTCGTATATTTTGTTCATTTTAAATTTTCCAGTGTCATGAAATGAATATCTGCCAGAACAAAAGAAAAAAAAAGGTTTTTTTCAGTTTGGATGCAGAGCAATAATGGAAATTCTTAACAGTTATTTAACTTACTTGTTTTAGCAGAGAACAAGTTGTGATCTAATTCTCAAGCATGCACCAACTATACAGATGTCAAGAAGAAAAAAAAAGAAAACACTACTGAAAGACATTTGTGGACAGGCAATCATAGTTTTGTAGCATCTAAAAGGGATAAAGAAAATTAATTTCTGAAACGCTGAAATTTTTTTTAGCTGTAGTTTCACAAAATCAGCAGCAATGAAAATTTTAGTCAGAAGGAAATTTTATGGCAAAGAAAGTTTTAAAGTTTATATACTCATTTAAAGGTTTATATATATAT